TGTCATTGGTTCTTGTTTCAGAGTAGATGACATTTTCACAATAATAAAAGTCCATTTCCTATTTTAATTCAGTTCAACTCCATTCACCTTGACTTATACAGACTTTCATCTCAGCTGCAAACCCTATAGACTAACTTCAGAGAATTAAGAAGGAAAGATTTGGAAAAAGACCCCTGTACATGGTAATTTGGCACCTTCTGTCTCTGCCTTTTGTAACCATTAGTTTGTATAGTAGAACTCTGAGGGTTTGGTTCCAGATATCACATAATCGAGAGTGCATTTTCATTTGAGTGTGTACGCTTTTGTCTACATGTGTAATATATTTACCATAGTTTGAGTTTCTAGTTTTTGCGCCAAATAAGTAGAGTACTTAAACCATACCATAGTTTATTGCATTTTGCTGTAAATCTGCAGATTTTTTATTTGAAAGACGTCTACTATATACCATATTGAAAGTCAGCGGGCATAGCAGTTGACAGAAGTTTGACATTATTTATGCTATGCTAGTCTCTCTTCTGACGCATATGGAAGAACTTCAACATTATCTATGTTTTTCTAATGAAAATCTTTTACATCTTGAGTTTGTAATTTAAAATGGCATGCCAAATATGTCTCAAATTAGTCAGCTGTCTGTTTCGGCTTCAGTTTGTCCTACGGATCAGCAGATTGAAAACCACCAGTGCTGTAGCTGCCTGGTAGGGAACAGTTAGAATTGGATTAATGAACAAATTAAAAGTTGGAAATGACATGAGGGCTAATTTACAGCAATGGGGGAGGAAATGGAGTTCACATCATTTGCTTAAGAGAAGGTGCATATAGTGGCAGCAGAGCCTTTAGAATTAATTAATTTAAAAATATATAATCTCACTTAAGTATTACACACACACACACATACACACAGCGCTGTAGCCTTTTCTCTTTTTACAGTTCTCATCTCTATGGACTTGTTCTGATCCCTGCGCTTTGGTTGGTCACAGAACTTGATCAGCTAAAGAACAGGATTGATGGAGTCTGCTTATGGAATTTATCTTTTAAATTCCAGATTCTTCTTTAGCTCTGGAGAGGGATGCAGTTTGGGCAGGCTGATACACTGTGTAGTCTCAGCACCCAGGAGGCTGAGGCAGAAGAACCACTCATTCTAGGACCCCCTTCCTCCAAACCAATTGATTGAACAGATTTAAGAGTAAACCTTACCACTAGAATCAGGTTATAGAGGTTTAAGTATGTTCACACAAGATGCTCTGGAATTCAGAGTCACAGGTAGCCGTGAGCCACTCTGAGAGCTGGGAACTGAACCCAGTTCCCCAGGAAGTATAGTGAGTGCTCTAACCACTGAACCACCTGTTCAAAGTTCTATTCATTACTGTTTTGTGAAATTATCTGAGAATTCATTTGAGAATTAATGGCCAGGTAATTTCATATCAGTTTATAAGGAATTACATAATATTCTAATAGACATCTAGAATTTGATTTCTATGGCTTATTTCACTTAGCTATTGTCCTCCAGATTCAACCACATTGCTGCAACTAAGAAGTTTTTCTTTTTTTTTTTTTTTTTTTTTTTTTTTTTTTTTTTAGTTTTGTTTTTAATTAATTTGTATTTTATGTGCATTGGTGTTTTGTCTGCTTGTATGTCTGAATGAGGGTATCAGATGCCCTGGAACTGGAACAGGAGTTACAGATAGTTGTGGGTGCTGGGAATTGAACCTGGGTCTTCTGGAAGAGCAGTCAGTGCTTTTAACTTCTGAGCCATCTCTCCAGTCCAAGAGGATTTCTTTAATTTTTGTATAGGTGTGTGTGTGTGTGTGTGTGTGTGTGTGTGTGTGTGCGTGCATGTATGCATGTATGAGTGCGTGTGTGTGTTTGTGAGGGCCTATATGTGTCAGATACATTTTTGATTTTCTGAGACAGAGTTTTTCTGTTCTGGAAGTCACTCCGTAAACCAGGCTTGTCTTGAACTTAGAGAGATCTACCTGCCTTTGCCTCCTCAGTGCTAGGATTAAAGGTATGCACCCCCATTGCTCATCTACATTGCTGGATTTTTAGTTCAGTGAGTAGATAATTTTTTGTTACATTTTAAAATTGAAGTTCAGGCCAACAGGAGCGTAGTCATAACACAGGGGGCAGGTTTTATGTGGTGGGTTTGTTAATCCTGCTAAAACTTACAGTGATGTGTGAATTCTTCAGATCCATCCCTAGTAATCTGAGTTCACTCCTTAAGACAGCCTGTCTTTACTTTACCCCGCGCTCACACTCACACAGTCTCTCTTTCTGCCGTCCCTTCCTTCACCCCACTTTAGTAGGAAGCTACAGCTGTGGGCTTTCAGTGTCGGGTGTGTGAGGACAGTCATAGGTGAAGACAGCTGGATCATGGGCCTGGACTTTGTGACTTCATATTTTCATTCTTTTGCTACTGAAGAAAGATTAAGCAGGAGCATTTCAAAAGAGCAGCTGACGCTACCCTCAGTCAGTAGTGGTGTGAGTCACTGTTCTTCTTTGGAGTTGGTAGACCTTTCACATGTGCATGGCAGAGGTCCAATCTGCCAGACCAGGCAAGAGTGGGCAAATGTGAGTTGGATGCATGCCAAGTCTACATACCAACCCAGGTTCTCACCCTGTGCCCCAGCCCTCCTCCTTTCTGTGGAGCGTTTGGCCAGTGGATCACTTCTGGATGGAGGTACAACAACTTTTAACTAAAGCAGCCAGGCCACATTGTGAGTCGTGACCCTGTCGTCTGTAGAGATGCCTGTGCTGCTGCTGACTAAGAGCCTCTTTGCTTGGTGTCACCATGGTATGATGGGGCCAGTATATGACTGGTGGCATTAGTAACATGATGTAACTTTCTGGAAAGAAATCAAGGGGTGTTGTTTGTTTTTTGTTTTGTTTTGTTTTTTTGTTTGTTTTTTTTAGGTTTACTTTTCGTTTGTTGTGGTGAAGTGTGTTTCTTGGTTATAAATCAGGACACTTAAAATCTAGTAGGAAAGTATTTTCTTTCTCTATAGGTGGAAATGTTGGGGTCTTACTTTAGTTAGTGGGTTTTTATTGTTAGTTTTTAAACCCAGAGACAGATAGATTTTGTTCCATTTTTGATTGTTGTTTTTTTAAGCCAATGGAGAAGTATTTTGCATATAGAGGACTGAGTAGACAGTTTCAATACAGACTTCCAAGTTCTTTACCCTGCAAATATCTGTGTGTCTATGAATATTCAGGTATTCAGTGTCCCTGTCAATAATCAGAAATCAGCTGTATGTTGAAACTTGAGCACAGCTAGAGGACTGTTCATAGGCCCTGCAGTGTACACACTGGGGCTTCATGAGGCTATTTCTAAATGCCAGCATTTCTAACAGACTCATTTAGAGTAGTGGAATATTTGGGGTATTGTTATAATAACTGAAATGAAAGGTGAGTACTGTCTTCCAACAAAATAACCTTCATTTCTGAAGTATTTCTGGCTTCTGGCATTTAGAAATGGTGTTACCCTCTTTTTTTTTTTTTTTTTTTTTTTTTTTTTTTTGCTAATTGATGTACAGGGTCCTTATGCTGTGGAGACATTGGGCAGTTCAAATGTCTTCTTCAAAGTACAGAATGAACTCTTGTGAGTGACATAAGAGTTCTGATGTAATCAGTAAATCTTGAAGTCAAGTAGATGTGATCAGATTTTTTTCCTTCAGTGTCTTATAATGGAGAAAAATTTGGGCCACATGGCCTAACTAAGCAGCATTTTGGAAATGCAACTACTTAGATTCCCAGCCTGGTCTTTGATGTAAAAAAGTGTGTTTACTCTGCCCTATAGCAGAATGCCGGCATCATGGTTATGCAATGTTGAGAAATAGTGAAGTGTCTTACAAACAAAAAACTGCATTCATTCACTTGGTCTTTCAATCTTGTTTTTATGCATTGTTTTGTGCAAATTAATAATAATGTTCTGTGGGTCACAGAGGAAAATGATGGAAGCCCCCGCCCCGACCCTTTGTCTCTTTTCCTGCATTTACTGCTCATGTCTCTTTAGTCTGTCTTTGTGTTTATTGCATTCTGAACCCCAGAATCATGCTCACTATTGTGAGGACATTTTGCTCAACCTTTAATTTGTTCTGGAATGTGCTCTGTTTGCTTGGAAATTAATGCTAATTACCAGGATTATCTTTTTCCTTAATGTTCTAGTCTCCAATTTTGAAAAAGGAAATAACCATGGCTTACTAATGTGTCCCCTTCAATTTCTTATGCCTTCCAAATGTCAGATGCCATATTAAATTTTTTAAAATGTAATTATATTACCAAGTCTTATTTGTGCACAGCATGCCTTAAATACTGGGAACTGAATTTTAAGCAGAAATAAGTATATCATTGAATTCTGACTTCGTGTCCCTATGGTATTTCAGACATGCAACCATAGCTACAGTTGAGTGTCGTCTACCATTGCCACTTGCAGGCAGGTGAGGAGGCTGTGTTCTTGTACTAATTTCCCTGAATGGAACCAGAAGTAGAAATCCTTCCATCGTTTTTGCCAGTGACCCACAGAACAACATACAGTCCAGCTTACCACAGACGAGCAGCTTGAGAACTGTAAGGCTGAGAGACAGCAACGGGGAGCACAATCACTGTCATGCCAGAGTCCAGTCATCTTTAGCTAAGACTGAATATTTTGTGTCTCGTGTAGTAATTGTTCTTCTTCATCTGATTATCCCATTTAATTTGCACTTTGTGTTCAAGGGCTCCAGCAGTGAATTTTATTTTAAATTAGAAGTGCTGCAGGGGTACTCCAGAAAAGGGGGAGAAATAGAAAAAATTCAAATCTGCATTTCTATGAAAACTAAGGGCCTTGTCTCTGTACCTCACATATTTATTGGTTCTATCACAGCATATGTGGCAGAATTGCTAATGATTATCAATTTTGAGTTATTTTTATCATGCTCTATAACAGTACAATATACATGTATTTACTAATGTTGAATGAGTTTTCCTCTAATTTTTTGTACATTTTCCCCCCCTTTTCCACCAAGGCCTTATCTCTTTGGAGCGGGGTGTTTTTCCATAAAAGCTCCATGGTGAGTTCCTGTTCAGTCCCGCATGCCTAATTCATTTGCTGTACTCTCAAAAAGTAACTGTTTATACTTTGTTTTCAGTTGCATGGCCCAATCACAGATAGATGCACCAAGTTACTTGTCAAATAGATATGAATGTTGATATTTAAACCTTTAAAAAGTAGTTCCTTTCGTTTTACTTGAGTCCTTCAAAACACTTTTTTCTATCTACAAAAAAACCAGACTTGTTTTGCTTTTGTTACTTTTTCCTTTAAACAAGGCAGAAGGGTTCTCTCACCAGGATGGTAAATAATATGAGGAAGGTCTAACCCCAAGTAGAGTGCTTTGAATATGAAGTTCCTTATTTATCATGTTTAATACTAGAGAATAGAGGTTGCTTTTAAGTACATTAAGGGCAAAGCTGCAGTGTGTTTTATTTGGTCCCAAAAAGACTGTGTTGAACTCTGTTTTGAATAGATTAGGTATTTTTAAGGAGCTGCAAAAAAAAAAAAAAAAGTCAAAGAATACATATTTCTGATAAAGACCCCCCCCCCCCATGACACCGTGTTGAACCATATCATCTTAAGGCATAATAACCACAGAAAAGAAAGAGTGTGTTTCATATCTTCACTTGACAGTGTCAGTCAGAATGTGTTGTTAAGGATCTGATATAAAATGCTTTAAGCTGCCTTGCTCTTACATACCATGGAGTCATCTGTTTCCTTTTTCCCTCATATATGTAGTGAAATCAGCATTAGCAACTGTTCTGTGTGTTCATTGTGAGGATTAAAAGAGTTTGTAATGTATGAATGCATTGCAGTACATTGATGACAGTGGTACCTAGTGTAACTGCTGTGGACTGCCCCTTCCAAGCTGGGGTGAACACTCTGTCTGAAAAGATACTTCTTAAAATTAGACCATGTGCTTTACCTCCGCACAGGCTCTCATTACATAGGCCTTTATAGACCTCATGCCTCAGCTCCCTGAGTGCTATGACCTGAGAGAGGTGCCAACACGCCAAGCTGTTCTTAGTTCTTAAGAACCCGTAAGGCAAAAGGAAGTTTTGAGAAATATAAGGTATTTATGAACTTTGTTAAATTAGAACTTTGTTTAAATTCTTCACATTTTTCTGGTCCTCATAACTGCTGCTAAGATTTGTTCATTGTGTCCTGTTATATTTTGAGCAGTGTCTTATCTGGGCATGTGTTACATGCATGGAATTGTAGCACCCAGGAGGCAGAGGCGGTAGGACAGCAAGTTTAAGTTCAGCTTGGATGTGTAATAAGATTCTGTCTTTTAAAGCTGGCTATTGTTTCATGGAACATTTTCAGGGTTCCTGTGGCCTGGGAATGGAAGTTTTCACTATCATATAGGGCTGGGTAATAGAAGGCGAATCTTCATCAAATATCCACCTTGAAAGTACAGCATAGGACTGAGTGAACAAAACTGTTCTTAACAAAATCAGAATATACAGAGACAAATCTGTTGATTTTTCTTTTTGTAAATCAGATTTCTTCTCAAAACTAGTAAGATGCATGGATTCTCTTGACTTAGAGGGAACAGGGCATTTTACATGCCACATTCAAAATATGATGAAATGTCTTTGTGTACTAAATGTGGAATTAAATTCCATTTGAGGATAAATTCCTCATTCCAAGTACAAAGCAAAGAGTTTTAGCATGTTAATAAAGATTGAAGTTTTGACATGCAACTAAGGATGGACTAACAAATGTTATATGTTAAATAAGAAAAGTCCATTCCCCCAACAGCTTATGTGTTCCTCACATTTAAGCAAAAGCACTTGTCAACCAGAAATGATTTGAGGTTGAAACAAGATTAAAAGAGCCAGATTAAAGAAAGGGATCTATGAAATATAGTCGACTTCTAAATCACTGCCTGTCTTCCAGAAGACTGCTTTGTGGTTTGTTTGATGCCATCGTTAGCTCACAAGAAACTCGTTTTTAGTCACTTACACTAGACTGAAAGGTCCTCCTTTTAAATGCGTTACATTACCAGCGTGCATGTTTTTTCCATTAAGATCTTAATGAAACCTCAAATTAAGGCAGCAAAATGAATATAGATTTGACAAGTTCTTCCATGTTGTTTATGAGAGCCGCTTTGTTTCCGCAGCATTTGCTGTTTTTCCATGATACTTAGCATTCAACTTGAGAATGTTTTTATTTACTGCTCTAAAATAAAACATCATGCTAAATAAGTGTGTTTATAGTACTTTCAGTTAGGGTAATATATATATATATGTTGGGTGAACATGAAATCTTTTAGCTTCTTTTAAAATGTAAATTTCTTATAATTTTCAAAAATTAGTTTTGGGTTACAACATTTGTATTTAGTTAAGTGTTTTCTTTCCTTTTTTTTTTTTTTTTTTTTTTTTTTTTTGCTTTTGATATGTCACAGTTCACACTAATTCTTTATTCTTCAGTAAATTAATACAGTTTCAGATGAGACCATTTAGAAACAGCATTTTTCTCCTTTGATATCATAGCAAGCTGGGAATGAAATGGTACAGCCTTTCTTTGACAGCAGCAGCCAATCTAGGCAATCCAGTACTTTCCAGGTTGTATGTTAGTTGTTTTGAGAGACCATACGAATTTTTGTTGTTGATTTGTTGAGACCAAATCCATCCCATATTGTAGCCTATTCTGTCCTGGAATTACTGTGTAGCCCAGGCTGGCCTTAAAGTTTTGAAAATCCTCTTGTCTCAGCCTAGTGTAACACTTACTATGGAATTTTAATTTTCGCATTGACAATATTGTATTAGTGTGCATGTGGAACTGGGTTTTACCTTCTATTTCCAAAAAGATTTCCAAAAGTTGTATGTATGTATATGTAGCAAACAGTCATGCTTATGTGTCTGGGAAAATATCCCTTATTCATAAATTGTCTCTGTATTATTTACAGTCACCTTTGAAAATGAAGTAAAATTACCTGGCGGTGGTGGCCCATGCCTTTAATCTCAGCACTAGCATCCACTGTAAATTCTAATGACCTAGCAATTAATTTCATGTATGTTAAGATCAAGAGAATATTAGCAATAAATGTAATTGCGTAATCTATTGAGGATCATTTCTATTAATGGCATATTAGGAGAGGAACACATTACTATGTATAGCTTGCTTTTAGTATGGCATAACACCAGGGCTGGCATTATCAATAATCTTCTAACTTTACAGTACAGATGATAAATTTAGGCCGGGCATTGGTGGCATATGCCTTTAATCCCGGCACTAGGGAGGCAGAAGCAGGCAGGCAGATCTCTGTGAGTTTGAGGCCAGCCAGGTCTACAGAATGAGTTCCAGACAGGCTCCAAAGCAATATAGAGAATCCCTGTCTCTCAAAAAACCATGGGGGGAAAAAAAAAGGAAAAAGAAAAAGAACTAAAGTTTATATATGGAATTATAGTCCATGGTTTGTTTTTTTTTTTTTTTTTTTTTTTTTTTTTTTGCTAAATGTTTCCTGTTCTGAGAATATTTGAAAATTTCAGTGATGTGTGTAGATAAGATCTCTTTTTACTTGTGTTTGGAACCTTTAAGAATAATTTATGATATCATATCTAAGTAAATTTGGATGGCTTATTAATGATTTTAATTGTTTAAGTAGTTCTAGTTGCCTCTCCTGTCTAGTTTTAGGGGAAAATTTAGAGAATGAGAGAAAATTTCTAAATTCCTTTGAAAAGCTTTATGTCACAGAAACTTACAATTTTCATAAAGAAACTGATTTCCAGTCACTTTCTAGTCATTGACATTCTTAGTTTGTTTCCACTCAAACTTAGAAGTCCATAGTTTCCTTACATCTCTGTAAAGAAATGGTGCTTCTGTCCTAGCTCTTGTCAAGCCGGTTCCCCCTCTCAGCACCCTGAGCTATCTTGCTTGCTCTGGCTGGGGTGCCGCCTACTGCTTCAGCCTCAGGCCCTCGCTGTGATGCTGGACACAGCTACCCTGGCGGAAATCACCGCCCTTTGTTACTAAAGCAGGTGTATGTAGAGAGGGAAGTGCTTTGTGTCTTTCTCTTCCTTCCTTCCTTCTTTCCTTCCTTCCTTCCTTCCTTCCTTCCTTCCTTCCTTCCTTTCTTTCTTTCTTTCTTTCTTTCTTTCTCTTGTTTTCATTCAAATGTAAAGCAGGCAAGAGAAAGCCAGTGTTAATCTAGACAGCAATGGAGGGTTTTAAGACTTTGCAAACATTTGGGAAATGATGCGATATTGGTGAGCTGGCAGTGAGAATAGTTCCCATTCTTTAGGGTTCTCCCCCCCCCCCGGAGGAAATGACAGAATTAAACTCCCTCCTTTTATTTACCATGGTGTTTATTTTGCTTTGTGTTTGTGTGTTCTGTTTTTCCGTTGGGTTCCTTAGGAAGGGCTTATTGCATGTGGTATTTAATTTATTTTGCCATGACTGGCAAATGTTGTGTTCATTTTTCTTTTATGTTTTGCCAAAAGTTAAAACAAATGCTTGTAGTGAAGAGGCGGTAGGTATTGGTAGGAAGGCATCTGAGGGTCTGTCTAGGGGACTGCTGTGTTCTGCTTTGTGTCTCTATACTGTCAGTATGCATGGTGTGTTCTCCTGTATGTTTCTTTAAACTCACTGAACCCATATAATCAATCCAGTTGAATTCTGTACGACAATTAAAATGGAAGTACTACTTTAATTATTGCATTATCATCATAGTACGTGTGTAAGGTTAAGTAAATAAAGAGAAGTTCATTGCACATGCACAGGAGACCTTCTCAGTTGACCAGTGTTCTTTCTCATTTTGGGACTTGTTGAAACCCTTCTGAGAAGAAAGGTGTTGAGGGCAAGCAGGAAACGAGGCTAACCTTACAGTCTCCAATGTGCAGGTCAGGGTAGCAATCTGTATGTCTGCATGATTTACAGGGCTGGCCTTTTCTGCTCTATTATTTATATATCCTCTTTCTCTGCCTTATCTCCCCCCCCTTCCCCCGTCAACAGCAGAGTATTTTGTGATGGAAATACTCTGGGTCATTGTAGAAAGGTTCGTGTGTAGCCTGTTGCATAAACACAGAAGAAGATAGACCGTTTTGGTCCTACTAGGCATTCTTGCACATATTTTTTAAAATTAAGATTAGGAGCAAATGGAGCCAGAATTAAACTTTCTGACTTTGAGTGGAACACATAAAAATGATTTCCAAGTAGCATTCTTTTTTATTACATTATCTCTTTTTATTTCTCTGTAAGATTTATATGTATATACACATGTTTTTGTGTTTCTGTTTTGCTCAAATGACAAAATTATGCCATGTGGAGCCTGATGTTGGAAATAACTTGATATGAACTAGCTCTCACAAATCTGCTTCCTCCCCTGTTCAGCACTGTGGCATGTGAGGAGCTCAGATTAAAATAAATAAATAAATAAATAAAAGGACTTTATTCAAGTTGACTTCTTAACTCATGAGATTTGCCGATGTCCTATCACTGGACAAAGGATAGCTGATGAAATATAGGAATAAAATAGTTTTTTTCATAAATCCAACACAATTTTACTGTAAAACATAACTTCTCATAGCACATTTGTGTTTGTGTGAGACAGTAATGTGCTGGTGGTGGCTTTTAAAATGAAACAGTGTGAAGCATGTAGAAGAGGTATAATAAAATTTAGCTGCTAACTCCAGGCTCACTGAAATGTAAGATGATAAATGTATGGAATGTTCTCAAAGGATACATTGATGCCCTCTGATTTTTCCACTTTTTGTGCTTCTGTTAGAAAGCTGGTCTTTTGTCCTGGTATTATTTTTGAGTCTGTTTAAGTACTTTAGAGGCACTATATATTGTCTTTTGAAATGGCAAGGCCACTTGTTATGACGTGCTTAAGTTAACACCAAACCCCACAACAAAGCCTCATCTGGTAATTTGGCATTGAACTTGCCTCTGTGAAGCTTACTTGTGCATTGTAGTGTCACTGGCTCCTGATAGTGTAGTCCAACAACTGCAAACACTTTTCAAAGTAATTCTTTAGCAGTGGAGACAGTGCAAGCAAGAGGACCAGACTTCAGATTGCTGGCACCTATATAGAAAGCAAATCGTGCTATCAAATGTCTTTAACTCCAGCCTGGGGAGGAGGGCAGAATGAGAGGTGAGGCAGATAGGTGGATCCCCAGATGTTGCTGGCCAGCCAGTCAGTTGGTAGCTCTAGGCTCAGTGAGAGACCTGTCTCCAAAGTAACAGTAATAATGATGACCAACAATGTAGAGAGCAGTAGAAGACACCTAACTTTGGCTACTGATGTCCACACACATGGACACAGAAATGCACACACATACCTTTATACACACAAATAAAAATAAACATTCTGCAGTGGCTTCTCTCTCCTCTTTCCCTTAGCCCTCAAGACCCCGAGGGCCACAGTAGCCAGAGGCAGGTCACAGATGGCAGTCACAGAAGCTTGCCAACTAAGTGTTAGTCAGTCAGCGATGGAATGAGAAGTGTTGAAGGGCAGCACACACACTCTAAGGTAATACACAAGGAAACTCAGCCAGGTGATCAGTTGTGGCTTTAAGTGACCTAGACATCGGGAGAGCACACACATGGAGGAAGGATGATGTCGCCTTTCTGGTGGCAGAACAGCTGTGCAGAGAGGAAAGTATGGGACCACAACCATGACAAAGACTGATGTGATATTTTATTCTTCTCTGTGATTCTGTCCGCAATTGGTTTTGGTATTTTCTATGTGTATGTGATTTAGTGGGAGCAATGTGTTCAGTGAGTATTAATGAGTGGAGATTTGGTTCAAAGTGGAAGTTTAGCTGGACCAATCAGGGCAGCATCTGTTCCAGCCTTCTCTCTCTCTCTCTCTCTCTCTCTCTGAAAATAGTGTCAGCACAGAAATCTCAGGAAATTAGATGCTGGAGAGGGTTTCAAGTGATTCAGGAACAGGAAAAGTGAGATTACTAAAGTACTATCTGAAAATAGGCTAGGCTTGTAGAGTTGTAGGTGGAATGTGTGTCGTGTTATGGAATGTGGAGGCTCCACCGCTGGAACCTGGCTTGCTTTCTTTAAAGTAGTAGGATTTTCAACCTTGAACATACTGCATAATCTGCTGTGGTCAGGAAGGGGGCTCAGAAAATTATGCCATCTGGGATGGGCCTGGTTAGTACTTGCTCAAGTGTCTGAGAAGTTCTCAGTGGCTCTGCTATCTGGAGACCATACTGTGAGAACAAATACAGTCCCAACCCTACGCAGTAGACATTGAGCTGCAAGTGGGAAGTTACTTAGGGAAAAGTCATATAACTAATGAGTGGCAGGGGTGGGTCATTCCAATTCAGGTTTCTTCTTGACCCCAGAAATCAATCTTCCCATTGCAACACATCTAGTAGGAGATAATAAGATAAAGTGAAGCAACGGAAGAAGGTGGCAGTCACATTGGTTCCCCGTGGAACTTACTGCAGAGCTGAGCCTTAGTGTATCCATCCTGGCTGTGATGCTCTTGCCAGTGATGTCATCTTCTGGGCTGTGAGTTAGAGAAGCAATCGATGGAAGGTGGTTGTATAATTGCTAGTTAGCTTTGAGAAACTTGATAATTCAAACGAGAACAGAAACTCAAGAATTGAAAGTAGATGAAAGCTTGAAGAGGACCGTAAGGGTTTGAGAGCGCATTGTGCACAACAGAGGGAGCTGATTCTTAGTGTTAGCCACTTGGTAACAGTGGTTAGTACATACATCTTGGTCAGAGCAAAGAGAGAGCAGATTTGTGTTTGGTAAGCTTTCAGTATTTAGCTCTGGCCTGGTCTGTTCACTAAACAAAATAGAAAAAAAATCATTTTCACAAATCCAGCCAAACAGAAACAGCAGCCATGAAGATGGCTGGCTCTAATTGCAGTAGGTCATTGCTTTAGCTCCCCGAGTGTGTGACTCTTCAGTGTAGCAGATCTTCAAGCACCACCAAGCTACATTTTGAATCATCCACATTTCCATGCATGCTGTCAGTATGTTCTGTATGGGCAGCCTCTTGTCTTGATGTCAGAATGAACTGTTAATGTCTATCCCTTCTTTTACTCCACTGAAACATTTTAGGCACGTGTTAGCCATCTGAAAGAAATGGCTGTAATTCTGAAACCAACACCCAGTTCAAAAGCAATTTGTTTTATTTTGTTGAGACACTGTTCTTACTATGTTACCTAGGACAGCCTTGGAAGCCAGGCACAAAAAATTGTCCCTCCTGCCTTGGGCCCTTGAGTAGCTGGGACCACAGGTGTGTGCCACCACACTCAGCTCTCTTAACAAGATCCTTTAACTATGGAATCATTTCTGTTTCCCCTCCTGCATCGTCTTATTCCATTGGTCAGTAGTTCTCTAAGGGTAATGCATGACTGTATGTAGTACCTAACTGTTTTTGTAGGGCTTAAATTTGGGGGGGGGGAATCTTCCCTAATATGGAAGACTGTGGCTCACTCACCATTGTAATTTTTAAATGTTCTTTTACTTTTTAAGCAAAGTTAAGCCACCTCCACAAATTTCTCCAAGCAAATCGATGGGTGGCGAGTTTTGCGTTGCTGCAGTGTTTGGGACTTCCAGGTCGTGGTTTGCAAACAACGCAGGTCTGAAACGAGAAAAAGGTATGTGGTTTGCTAATACTTAAATTTACCTTACTGCATTTACCTCTTAGAGTACGGGAAAGCAGCTCCCCTAGATAACTTTATAACTAATAGCTTATTCGTTTATCTATCATATCTGGCCTTAACTAACAAAATTTCTCCAAGAATTAAAACTTTTCTCACATAAATGGAAAATGACTGATGTTTTTATTTATTTTCAAGACCAGGACTCTACATAGTAAACCTGGCTATATTTAACATGACCTGGGACCAGGCTAGCCTCGAACTCACAGTGATCCGTCATCCTCTGCCTCTCTAATGCTGGTATTAACCACCTCACCTGACCCAGTTGACTCAGTTTTTATCTCAGGACCGTCTCCTATAACTTTCAAGTTTTGCACAAGCTGATTTCACAGTACTGTCTCTGAAGTAGGAAGGAGAAAATTTTGTAACCTCGGGATCAACTAGTCTCACCAATGTTAGTTAATGTGTGGGGCCTGTGTGCATGTGAAGGCATTTGCTGCAGAGGGCGGCTGATCCCCTGGAGCTGAAGTAGCAGGTAGTTGCAACTGCAGGGGCTGAATTCAGCCCTCTTCTAGAGGTACGCTAGCCTGCTGAGCCATCTCCTGGCTGCTGCTGCTGCTGCTTCCTCCTTCTCCTCCTTTTTTTTTTAAAAGCAAAACCAACAAAATCCCCACGCCCCCAAATAAACCAAAAATGCCAGACTGTTACTGGGAAATAAGTGTCATGTTTTGTGGTTAGCATTGTTCCTTTTGAGTTGGTGGGATTACTATGTTTTTAATTTTTTAAGTGTTTAAAAAATTTTAAATGTATGAATGTTTTGCCTGCATGTATATATGTACACCACGCGTGTAATGGGTATCAGTGTGAGTTAGAGGGGGCTTGGGTTCCTCTAGAACTGGAGTCACTTGTGGTGAACCTCATGTGAGTGCTCCATTGCTCTTAATCACTGGGCCTTCTCTCCAGTCCCAGTTGCTATGTTTTCAGCCTTTGCTTTGAACACCAGAATCAACACCTAGAATGTTTGTGTGATTATTGTGTTAGGATGTGATTTGTTATCATGTATGTGTTTTGTTTTATTTATTTTTTTTCCAGTTATAGTGCTTGAACCTAGGGACTCTCTGTGGTCTCTGTATAGAAGAGAATACATATATACCAAGTAAACAGTTTTGAATGTTAGGATTTTCCCCCTGACTACTTTATTGTGATTCAATTAGGTCACACGCTGGCTTGTCCCTGGCTAGTTACACAAGTTGGTTTTGTTCTTGGCAAAAATGGCTCTTCTCCCTGCCCACTGTTGGCAATCAGACACCAGCCATTTCCCTTGCTATCACTTTTCAGTGACCACTCCCTTGTAATAGGATCTTAGCTCAGCAGGTGCATTCCCAGTTAGGAAGGGGACTGTAGAGGAGGCAAGCCTCCCACTTCCTTATCCTATCTTTATTTATTTATTTAATTTTTTTGTTACTGCCTTTGGTTTAATGATGCTATCGGATGGACTTTTTGTTACTCATTGAAACCTTCTCCAAAGCTCGATTTCAAATGCTTCTCTCTTCTGTCCTAATTACCCCTTTTGCTTGCTACTCCTTTATGTCCCAGTGGCGGTCATTGGCCACTTTTTCACATCAGCTGTAATTGATTCATCTGACACAGAGATAAGATGACCCACACAGCATCCCTAAGCAATCTTATGTCCTCCTCGGTTTTCTGTAGAACAGGAGATACAGCACTGAGCCTGCTCGGGCAGTGTGTACATGTGTGTGCCCTATAAAGTCATTTGATTACATCCACACCCAGCATTAATTTCTCTATGGATAGCCGGCATTTCCTTTACTATAGGAGCCAATAATACCATTGAGAAATAGACTAAGAACTAGTTTGAGGAAGGTCTTTTTTTTTTTTTCTTATTGTTTCTGATTCACAGACAAATTGACAACAAATTTCTATGTGTTTAGCCTGTGTTGTGAGAGTGCTGTGTATATTCAGCAGATGGCCTTGCACAAATGATGCATTTTTGCTTGTTTTGTTCCAGATGCTAATATTTAAATTTTTTGTGTGAGTGCGTACCTGAGTGTGTGTGTGTGTGTGTGTGTGTGTGTGTGTAGAGGCCAGAGGTAGTTGTTAGGTGTTCTGCTCTATTATTTCTGCCTTGTTTAGTTGAGTAGGGGCCTCCCTGAACATGGAGCTCACTTGGGGGCCGGTGACCCCAGTGATCCTCCCTCTCCACCCCTTTTCAGCACAGAGATTATAGGCTATTTTTGACAATGGTATTTGTTTTTCTTTGCGGGGGGGGGGTTGTGGGTTCTGGGGTTTGAATTCATGTTCTGGTACAGCAAGTGGTCTTATCTTTTTGAGCCATCTCCCCAGCTGCTAAATTTAAATCTTCCAAGAAAACATAGTTGAACTGTTAGGATGACTTAGCTCCACACCTAGCTTTTTATTAGGTCAGTTGTTCAAGCAATGAAATTACATTTTATTGCATAGATTATTCATTTTTAGGTAGTTCTTCTATGTCATTTATTTTCCACAATATGTGGGATAATAGAAAATACTGAAATTTTCATAACATAGTGTTTAGCTATATTACCATTTTGAACATAATGGTATATTCTTGAAACAAATTGATTTGTATTTGAAAATGTGGTGGTGTGTTCGCTGTTGTCTTCTTGCGCAAGGCACCTTCAGAGGATGTGTGGTTGCCGTGGGACAGAGCTCTTATTTTCTCATGGCAGTCCCAGATGCAGATGTAAAAAATGTAGAACTCCTGCTATGGTCTTTCTCGACTATTATTACATATCTCCTTCTGATTATCTGTTTGCAGACCAGTCCAAACAAGTGGTAGTTGAATCCCTTTACATCATCAGTTGCTACGGGACATTAGTGGAACACATGATTGAGCCCCGACCGCTCAGTACTGCTCCCAAGATAAGTGACGATACACCACTGGAGATGATGACGTCACCCCGTGCCAGCTGGACACTCGTTAGGTAGTCCTCCCTGCCCCCTTCCCGCCACCTGAAAGATTAAACATGTACCCTTTGTGAAATCTCAGCATATATGCTTGGGAAATGTATGCACTCACAGTGATATGTTTACTTGTGTATAAAATTTCCCTTCTTGCTCTTGTCACTAGAGTCTTGTACAAATGGTTTCTTTAATCTGAGAAGGCTTTAGTTCATTTTTTTTTATTGACCATAGTCTACATGCACGAAACGTAAGCACTGCAAGTTGTGTGTGTACCCTTCCACAATTGCTTTTTTTTTAATCACGTAAAGAAATCCTGCATCATTTCCCCTTTAGCTCTACCCAACCACCACCAGTTTACTTTGCATAGCCTGCCTTTGCCTACTCTGGTCACTAAATGATGGAATCATGTAATATGTTACCTTTTGTGTCTGATTTCTGTCAGTTAGCATATTTTGAAGGTCTGTTTTAATGAAATATAAGAGCCTTTCATTCATTTTAATAGCCATTTTGTATCCTATTATATAGACATAACACATTTTGTTTATCCATTCATTTGCTGGAGGCCATTTTCACTCTATAGCTGTTACTAATATTTTTGCTGTAAATATTCAAATGTGTGTGATGGTATTTTGCACTGTCTCAGGATGTAAACTGAGAGTACCTCTATTAGAACTTTTTATACTTTTGATTGATAACCTAGCCTTTAATGGCTGAGACATCTCTCCAGCCCGTTTGAACTTTTTTACTGTTTGCTTGTGTATCCGTTTCTTGGTCTTGGTTTCCCTTATTCTAGTCTCACATACTCTTTGAAAATAATGCCACTAAGGGAAATAGAAACTAATACAAAGAGATTCTAAGGTCTCTTTTAACGTGATCATCTAGGATACAATGGTTAGGCACTCTAGAAATGTTTAAGAATCAACTCATCTGATGAGTAGAATTTTTATAAGCTAGCACAAAGAGAAAGAAATGAAACCTGGAATAAAACTCACTTAATATAGTGGATTGTGCAAGGGAAAAAAGCAATCACCCAGCATGTATGAAAGGAAACAGATAAAAATGGATATGAAAATGAGCCCTCTCCTTTTAACATTTAAAAATACTCTATTGATTTTTTTCTGTGGCCCCAGCATTCTCTATTAGAACTCACTGTGCTGGATTGTTCTGATCAATATCTGATTTATCAAGCTTATTTAAAATTCGGCAGATCTGATTAAACTTACTACAGTCTCACTATTGAAATAGCTAATTCAATCCAAAGTAAGTTGTCCATTTACACAGCTGCTTTTTAAAATCACTCTTACTTACTTAGTTTCCTGTTGAAGATGTCTAACACTGGTCAAAAATGAGATAAAAGACCTCTCTGTAGTTGGCATTAGGATACTGCTGGTCCTGTCTTTTCTCTGTCTCTCTCTTATCTAGCTGATTACAGTCTAGTTCTGATAGGTAATGTTGGCTCCATGTTATCTGTGTGGCACATTGCCACCTTTTTAGTTTTTAAAGTTCCTGGCCTTGTATGTCAAGTTAAAGAGCATCGATCTTAATGATTGCACGTTCATTTTAATGTTCAGAAGTCGTGAGAGACTCTATCAGGGTCTGTGGGTGATTTACATCCCATCTGTGAAGCTTAAATATTAATATTCTTCTGTTGTTTCCTTAGAACGCCTCAGTGGAACGAATTGCAGCCACCCTTTAACGCCAATCACCCCCTGCTCCTGGCTGCAGAAGCAGTGCACTATTACCAGCTCCTGCTTGCTGGCTGTAAGTACTTCTCTTCAGGTTACTTTTTGTTATGTTGTGTGATCTTTTTTTAATTTGATGACTTTCAAAAGCATATTTGCATATTATCAGTCTGTGGGCCATAGATCTTAAACCAACAAAGGAGCCTGTGTCTTCAGCTGGCATATGCAAAAATTTTGGGGGAGGGGGAATAACAACCTATACAACAAAGCTACCTATAACATGTGACCTAGCAGGATATGGAGAACAGCTTCACAGAGCCTGGGGCCTTTTCCTAAGAGACTAAAAACAAGCACTCCTTCCCAGGACACTTCAATAGCAGCTTCTGTTTGTTGTGTACTCCTTGCTGGTCTCAGCTTCATTGGGTTTTTGTTTGTGTTTGATCAGACCATGGCCTTGCATGGTCTAGGGCTAGCTTGGTGCTCTTCAACTAAGCTGCTTTTCTTGTGTTCCTGTTGCCATTTGTAGATACTGATGGAGGTTCATCCAACCAGATGCTTTCATTTTTAATATGGGAGGCATGAAGAGACAATTCAATATTTTTATTATCCAGTTTGTCTTCATAGAATTAAAAATGCTTTACAATTATAATTCAGTTGTGTAGAATATACTGAATCCTAATTGAATCTGACTGCTCTGGGTACTGCATGCTTTTAGAAATGTCCTAAAAATCAACAATGACATGTTTATAATGGTAGTTGTTGTACTCCATGTAGTATCTTGCTTAGCAATTATGGAGCTTGAGTTAAAATAGTTGTAGAACTGTGTGATTTCATTTTATAATGTGTTACATATTATTCTGGAATCAGGAAAATTTTATAGGCTTTGCTCTACTTATGAAACGCCATAAGTAATAAATAGTTGGCAGTCTCATTCTTGTACATTTGAACTCGACTTTTTTTAAAATCACATATTTGTCAAATGCCTACTATGTGTCAGGCATGTACAGTATAAAGGGTAGTCACTTAGTGCCTCTAGCCCCAAGCTATTCAATGTTCAACTGGTGAGGCGCAGTAAAGTAAAAGCAATGTGATAGATTTCTCAGTGGAGATTAATGAACTGAAAGCGATGACAGAACTAAGAGGGCAGCGTGGTGGGGGTGGGGAGAGGTGCACAAGGATGCATACAATTGTCATTTTCTAGTGTTGTTAGATGACATGGTACAAACGTGGCACATATGATTTTAATGAAAACTGAGCATTTTTTAAATTACTTCTTCCTTTTTTGTTTCTCTGTATTGCTTTGGAGCCTGTCCTGGAACTCGCTCTGTAGACCAGGCTGGCCTCGAACTCTGAGAGCTCTGCCTGCCTCTGCCTCCAAAGTGCGTCACCACCGCTCTCCATTACTTTTCAGTAAAACCCTAATTATTGAATTAAATGTTGTTGTTTCAGCTAATCCAGGTTTCTTCTTTGTTTTGTTTTGTTTCCTGTTAGTTCTGATTAGCTGGCAGACAGTGATAAGTCTGAAATGTCTAAGAAGAGATAGTAAAGTTTAAAATCACACCACATAGCTGCCCCTAACACTTTTGTCCAGTTTAACGAAACCCACCACTGCCGCTGATAGTGCCCATTCAGTGCTTTCATGCATGGTAGCAACACCATCAAAACTGTTGTGTGTTTTGGAGATTGAACCTAGGGTCTTTCACACAGTAGGTAAGTGCTCTCCTTAATAGTAGACTGCTGACCTTCCTCTGTCTCCATCCAGCTCACTCCTCTGGCAGCTTTGCAGCAGGATCCTTAGAGGAAAGGGATTGGGCAAATAGTCTTGAAGCAAAGTGAAAACTTGGTCTGCACAGGCCTGTGAGATGGCAGGCTTGGCCAAACACCTTTACCACTGGGCCATCTGTCCGGCTTCTATTGCTTCTTTGTATGGATTTGAATGATACGGATGGGCCTGGCTTTTAAAGGTTTATACATACAACACTCAAGGACCTGCCAGAGTGTCACATATCTGAAACTGCAGAATGCAGACATTTGGGAATACATTGCAATAGGGGCAGTACTGGTGTCAGTACTTTACTTCCCCTCTGTAACACTCTTTGTCTGTTAAGTCTCCTTCAGAAGCCGTTTGGAAAGACACTCTACCTCCTACAACACACGTTTACTGTTTCTGGTTCTGTGGGTACCTTTGTTTTGTTTGATGTGTGGTAGAACATTGTCTTCAGTGTGTTTGGGCCTTGTGATTGGTCCCCATTATTACCGGTGGTGGGGAATTACCCTTCATTTTTCAACTTAAAGACTTTGGTAAATATCTTTTAGAGCTATTTTTAATTGAACTCCAGAGTGCTAATGCAAACTTCACAAATGTTGCAGTTACTATTATTTTTTTTTTGTTCTTGTTTTGTTTTGTGTTGTCTTTGGAGCCTATTGGAAAAGTGTAGCAAGCTTGCACAAACTCCCGAAATGATAGAGTAATAGGCAAAGAATAATGTCAATAGAAATAGGAAAGAGAGCAGCCCAGCAGGATGTTAGCAAGGACCCCCCACATCATAATAACAAATACACTGTTCTCAGTAAACAGTTTGTTCCACGTTGCAGCAAGGACACAGATGAGGGAAGAGAATAGAGACCTGCCCTGCTTACTGATGACTTCTTAACCCACCTTTAAGACTTGAAGCAAGCAAAGCCTCCAAATTCTGTGTTCCTCTCCATTGTAGCTTGCCCCTTTAGGAGAATGCCAAATTCTGTGTGCATGGTAGACAGGATCATGTTCCAGTAGTTCATTCAGATGTAATGGTGCAGGTTGAGGTGAGTTCAGAGTAAGTAGTTTTGTTGAACCATTCAAGATTGCCATCTGTAATAATTTTTAAAAAGAATACTATGTGATGAATTTATATGTTGAAATAAATGTGTAGAAGGCAATCTTGGTATTTAGGTCAGAGTTTAAAAGTCAAGAATATATATATTCTTTTGGACATAAAATTATTGGTGAAAGGTTTATTAATATGATCATAGAGCTGAAGAGATGGTTCAGTGGTTAGAAGCAATTAGTGCTCTTCTAGAAGACATGAGTTCAATTCCCAGTACTCACATCAGGCAGTTCATAAATGCACTTAATTGTTTGACTCCCTTTTCTTGCTTCCAAAAGTACACGCGCGCGCACACACACCTACCTCTCCCCCCTCTAAATAAAAATCAACAAATTTATAAAAATATAAAATAAAATTATTGATGAGATTAGGGATTTATTGTTTATATTGTGTTTTTCTTTAGTGATGCACTCTTTTAATCCCAGCAATCAGGAGGCAGAGGCAGGTGGATTTCTGTGAGTTTGAGGTCAGCCTGGTCTACTGAGTGAGTTCCAGGACAGCCAGGACTACACAGAGAAACCCTATTTGGGGGAAGGGCAACAAAAACCCTCATTTCATTGTATTATATTTTTTGCCAAACTGAACTAACCAATGAACTTTGAGTACCACCCCAAAGGACACAGTAATTTTTTCTTTAGTCTGCTCAGGACTTTCCAGATTATAAATTTAAATCAGGGCCTAACCATTAGATATGTGAAAGCTTATTTAATGGACAAATAGTAAATAAAAAAATCCACTCAGCCACATTAGGACAGCTCGGTTTCTTTAGTGGGCCCAGCCCTGCTGGGAAGTAGGTGTCAGACTTTGGACCACTTTCTAGAAAATTCAGAGTTGTTATTCCATGTGAACCCATACACCAATGAAAAAGCCGTAAAGATTATAATAAAGTATCGTAATTGAGTGAAATTGAAACCAGAGCATGTCCATATGTAAGAAGTTTGCATCTCTTTTGAGCAGCTGATGTAGTGTTAATGCATGCCACAGTTTGATAATGCTCATGGAAATTATGCCAAAGAGGGAAAAATGAAACCTCAAAAATTGGCATAGTTGATAGTTCCATTAATGTGCAAGATAAAGGTTCATTTTGATGGGGTAGTTTCGTACCTTTTAAAAGAAGTGTGTGGTGTGCTTCTGGAGAGGCCAGAAGAAGGTGCTGCAGGTGTGTGAGTCAGTCACCAGATGTGGGTGCTAGGCACCAAACTCAGGGCTTCTGAAAAGAACTGCAAATGTTCTTAACCACCGAGCTATTTCTCCAGTACCCAAAAGGGAAACAAATTGAAAAGACCTTTTGTGCAAGTTGAATGTTTTTTGCTGTGATAAATATGATCATAATCAACTTAGGGAAGGAACAGTTTTACATCATATTAAAGATGACAGCCCACCATTGAGAGAAACCAAGGCAGGAAACACTGCTTACTGGATTACTCTTTTTTGTTTGTTTGTTTTTTGTTTTTTGTTTACAGCCCAGGACCCCTGCATCAATTAGCAGTCAAGAAAATATTATGTCTATAGGCCAGTCTCAAGGAGGCAATTCTTCCATTGTGGTTCCCACTTTTAGCTGTGTGATGTGATGACCAAGTTTAGCCAAAACAAGTCTAACCTTTGTCAGTTAGATGAATGTGATACACACAGATACTCAGATACGTACATATTCATCCTTATCAAACCATAACCTTTTCTTTCTTTTTGATCCCCAAGAGCTCACATTTGTATCAAAATATAAAGTGTGGTTCAATCTTAAAAATAGTCCCATAGTCTTAAATTTTTCAGTGCTTTAAAAGTTGAGTTCTCCTTTAATATCCAAAGTCTCCTATGAGTGGTAAAATAAAAAATAAGTTACACAGTTTATTATCTAAAAAGCAAAGAATATGAGCACAGTTATAATCAGATCAAAGCAAAACCAAAATCCAACAGTGTAAAGGCATTATGTCCACTATCTGGGACTCCCCTCACTATCTACTAGGCTCCATAGGGCTTGGGAAAATCCTATTTTATTGCTCTGCCTTCTGCAAAACAGCCCCCCCCCCCATGCACATACAGCACTTGTATGCCAAGGTCAAATATTCTCCATACTTGCCTTAGTGTGGATATCCCAGCATCTTGACAGTGCCAAAATCCTGGGATTTCCATTGCAACCATGGCTACAACTTCACCAAAGGTCTTACCCAGCTTTTTGCATACATATTTATGTGTATGAGGACATGATGGCTAA